TCATCCAGCCCTGCACCTTGTTGTCTCGGATTCTCCAGCATCTGCAGTTCCTACTATCTCTGATTCAATATATAGTTTCTTGTTTTCTTTCAATACAATTGTTTGTTAATTATAAAATATTGCTGAAAAGAGAATTATGATGGTCTTGACTCAGCAGGACAAAGGGGGGAAAGATTGTGGGGAAATTAAATTACACAGTTGCTTGCTTTCTTTCAATACAATTGTTAATTGTAAAAATATTGCTGAATGTCTGATTCATCAGGACAAATGCAAGAATGCAAAATTTCAAATCATCACAGCAATTTATCCCACAGGAGTAAAGGTGCTGATTGGTTGGCTTGTCAACTCTAAGTGGTGAGGTATTAGCATGCACGAAGCATCAGGGAACTACAGGCTCTCTAATCTCCTGGGTAATTCAAAATTGCCTGGCTTGAACATATTCCTTTTATCTGAAGGATACAGGTCCTAGCAAATGTAAAAACCGAAAAAACTGCGGATGCTGTAAATCAGGAACAAAAACAACGTTGCTGGAAAAGCCCAGCAGGTCTGGCAGCATCTGTGAAGGGAAAAACAGAGTTAACGTTTCGGGTCCGGTGACCCTTCCTCAGAACAGAGCCTAAAAAGAGACTATTTGGCCATTGCTCATGTGCTAGCTCTTTGGTAGAATGTACAAACTCAGGAAAATAGATATTTGGCCTCTCAAGTCTGCTCTGCCATCAAATAAGATCATGGCTCCTCTGTTTGTGTCTTGTGTTTGTTGTGCTCTATGGGGCTTTCAACCACAGCTTGTCCTTGCCACACATTTATTTCATGTTAATTCCAGATATTAGAATATAAGTTTTACATCTATATTGTCAATTGTTTTAATGTTATAATTTTGTATATTAAAGTTGCTTGCTCAAAACTGTGGAATATTGTGGTTTCATTCTTAGTCCCATGAATTTCACACTTTGTCTACTTTAAAAAAATACTGGTCCCTAACCAGGCTGTAATATATATATTCTGAGGAAGGGTCACCAGACCCAAAACGTTAACTCTGTTTTTTCCTTCATAGATGCTGCCAGACCTGCTGGGCTTTTCCAGCAACTTTGTTTTTGTTCCTAGCAAATGTACATTGCTTCTAGTAAATGAAACTGAGCCATCTCAGGAGCTCAACTGATTATAAATTAGTCATTAGCCTGGTTATTAGTGCACTCAGGATAGTTCAGCCAATGTTGCCTCATCACAGAATCACATGTAACAAAAAGAGATGGAAAATTTGCTTTTTTTGCTCTGTGGAGCTGGGAGGTGCAATAATAAACTCCCCAGGAGCACATCCAACCACAGGCTACCCTACACGAATGGAAATTATTTAAGGCTGCGTCAATTAAAGTAAAAATAAAAGATTTCTTTCTAAACAAGTACCTTTCGGACGGCTCGCGGTTCCTTGTTCTTGCTGCCAATTGGTCTTCCTCGAGGTCGCTTCGGAGTAGGAGGTCCAGTAGGTTCCTGAAGGAGAAGTTACACGTGGGAATTACACATTGACATAAAGTTGAGTAGCTTTCCAAAAGGTGTGTATCCTTTAAAATAATATTCTACATGTAAATTAATGAATAGGATGCATGTGTGTAAATGTTTAAGGTGGAGATTGATACATTTCGGATAGCAAGCAGTAACTGGTCTATAGGTAGGTACCTAACATGCATCAGTATCCACGAATCCTACAGCCAATTCTCGGTGCTACTGTTGTAAATGTTTTGAAGAAATCGTGGCAATAAATAAAGGTGTACATTTTCTGCCCAGTGGATTAATGCACTGGGCTGTGTGATTACTTGGTGCTCGAACAGACTCTGCTTATATATCAATGAGGAAGGATGAAAAATCCTCTGTTCCTAGTCAGTGAGAGGAGAGAGATTTTTTAAGCAGCATGCTGTGATTGGGCAAGTGCTGCCTGAAAGGGTGGTGGGGGCAAATTCAGAAGGGGTTTGGATAAATTCTTGAAGGGAGAAACGTTGCAGCTCTATGCAGGCTTGGCAGGGAAGTGGGACTAAAATCGATTGCTCTTTCAAAGAATGGCATAGGCAGAGCAGTGTAGAGCTGAACCACTGGGCGACATCTGGAGGAACAGGGATTTCCTCCAGTTCTGAGGAAGGGTCGCTCAACCCGAAATGTTAACTCTGATTTCTCTCCACAGATGCTGCTCAGCTTTTCCAGCTATTTCTGGTTTTGCTTCTGGAGGAACAGGAGTTGGCCATTCAGCCCCTCAAGCCTGTTCTGCCATTCACAGAAGACTCGACAGGACTCCACACACCCACCTTTGACCCAACTTCCTTTGACTCTATAACCGTTGTAAAACAAAATTGCAAGAAAAAATTCAAATGAAGCAAAGTACAGACGATAACATGTAATAAGGTAAAAAAATTCCACCCACTTTTTTTTAAAACCATTCTTGCTCACAATGTAGACATCAAGTCTTAAACGATCAAAACTTCCAATTAGTCATTCCAAGTGGGGAGCCTACTGAATGAGAGAAACTAGCCATAAATGACAAGATGGGGCGAACTGCCATAGATTTGCTTATACAATGAGGTTTGACACGCAGAGCCTGAAGAAACAGTGCATATGTTTCCAGTGTTAACCGTGGAACTCTGTGCCAAGGGTGGGCCCTTGCTAGGTTCAACATAATTTCCAACTTCTGCAGGCCCCATCGAAGCTGGCTGCTCTGCTCGCAACTCCGATGCGGAAAATATTCCATTTCCCAACATCCCAGCGTCAAAAATTCAAATGGAAATGTTTTAAAAATTTGCCACAATCCCTTTCACTTGGTCAGAATTACAGTGAGATCCAAGTACTAAAGACCATAATGCACTGCAGCAGAAGTTGGCCATTCAGCCCATTGAGTCTGCTCTGCCATTCAATTCAATGTGGCTGATCTGATAATCCTCAACTCCACTTTCCTGCCTTTTCCCCATAATCCTTAATTCCCTTACTGATTCAAATCTGTCTATCTCAGCCTCATCAGCCTTCAGATTCACAGCCCTAACCACAGATCGGCATTCCCTCATGTTGAGTTTGTTCTGGACAGTTTGGTAGAAGGGAGAGGTCAGAGTTTGCTGTGAGATTGCTGCGGCCTACCTTAGCCTCGCAGGTTCTCTCACTGTGAGGTCATCTTTTCCTGACGGAGCGATGGTGGTGAACATCTGGCTTCAGCAGCTGTCCTCACACCATTCTCTCTCACTGGCTTCTCTCGTTAATTGGGAAAGGCTTTTGATGGCGGATCACCATTTGGGTCACAATCAGACATTTGCTGATGTGGAGCAGACCTTCAGGGACGCTTGGAGATCGACTTAGAAACATTTCCTTTTGGGCCCCACATGGACAATCCCTTGGGCTTAGCTCTGCAGGCAGGGCAACTGTTTGAGCTGAACATTCTGACAACATATATACCATCCCCCTCAGCCGATGGGAGGTTATTACAGCCTCTGTATTGGCAAATCTGCATCTTGCAGGATGGTCATGTTAGGTCTTTTGTCTCCCCCCCCACCTCCGTCTTAGTCACAAGATCATTAAAGGGCAATATTGATGTTGCTGTTTTTGGACCTTCATATGGTGTTCAATGAAATGCTGGAAAATATCACACTGGGAGCTACATTTTCCTGATTGCTCATTAACACTGAAGAACCTTGCTTGCTAGAAATTCACGTTAAAAGACCTAACTTTTACAGCACATAATCACATCCTCACAATGCGCTGAAAAGCATTTTATCCGCATTTGCAAATTCTTGAGGTCCTGTGAGGGCCCTGGATTAAGACTGTATAAATTGGAATACTTCATATATTCAGACAGCACAGAAAAGACCCTTTGGCCCATCGAGTCTGCACTAAAAGTGCTCTAATCCCAATTTCCTGCACATGTCCCATATCCACTTCACTTCCAGTGAGACTGAAGCAACAGTTAGGCAAGTGCTAAAAGAAATGATCCTGGCCCTAAATTCACCGTTTAAACTCAAGTGCCCAACATTGTTACACCAGGAATGTGCAAAGATTGTGTGATCCCATTCACCACACTTAGAACACTGAATTTCAAAGATATAAAATTGCTGTTGGTGCAGAAATCAGTTCAGCCAGGGAGCGCTTGCTAAAGTATTGAGACCACAGCAACAACTCAAGAGTTCTGCTGACACCTGGGATGACAACATAATTTCCAGAAACCTATTGTTTGGACAACTGAGTTTGCCCGTGCAGGAGTGAGCTAACTTCCTTCAATAGTTGAACATTGACCAGAACCTGAACTGGACAAGGTACATTAACATCAATGGTTGCAAGAAGTAGTCGGAGGCTGGGACTCTGCAGCAAGTCATGTGTCTCCTGACTCTCCAAAGCCAGTTCATCATCTAGAAGGCACAAGTCAGGAGAGTGATGGAATACTCCCCACTTGCCTGGATGGTTGCAGCTCCAACAACACTCAAGAAGCTCGACACATAGCAAACCACTTGATTGACACTCGACCATCACCTTAAACATTCAGTCTTCCACCACTGACACACAGCGGCATCAGGGTGCACAATCACTGAAGCAACTCACTAAAACTCTCTCGACAGCACTTTTTAAACCCAGGATCTCTACTATCTCAAAAGACAAGGACAGAAAGTGCATGGGGACATCACCACCTGCAAATTCTCCTCCAAGCCACACACCATCCAGAATGGAAATATATCGCCACGCCTCCTCTGTTGCTGGGCCATAGTCCTGGAACTCCGTTCCTAACGGCATTGCTGATGTACCTACACTTCAACAGTGCAGCTGTTTAAGAAATCAGATCACCATTGCCTTCTCAAGAGCAATTCATGATGGGTAATAAATGCTGGCCTAGCCAGTGATGCTCACGTCCCAGGAGCGCATGAAACCAAAACGTATGAGGCCAACTTTATATAACAGTTCACTGACTCTCCCTGCATACGTTCTGGGATACTTGATATTTTGGTCGCCCTACAATTCCTGTTTTTCACAAATGTGGGTACTCTCCTGTGGCATTATACATGAGGCACAGCACAGGCTGTCTTATAACAATGAAGATGTAGGGAACACGGAGGAAATATTACAGGATTTGATGGATCCTTGTGGAAAATGCACACACTGCACATAAGACTTTCACTCGTTTGATCATGGAAACTTTTGGGCCAACGTAATCTTTAGGTGAAATAGGGCTACAAGGTGGGAAACAATTGGACTAAGGTACATAGATGGAATTCAGTCCCCAGTTGAAGGGTAAACATACTGCCTTAAATAACTGCACAGATGCTGGTATCCCATCACCAAGTCACCCTTTATTTACATCTGCAGAGTACATGGACTCAGGATAGCCAGCTCAAAGCCAGTCCCTAAGATCAGGAGACTCTCCAAGACTCCTGTTTATATCTATCAGCCAGGACTCCCTGATTGGCCCAGGTTAACAGCCCCAGCCAAGGATCTCAGTCAATGAGATCCACCTGGCCATGGTTTCAATCACTACACTCCCTTTTATTAAATGTCATGATATGATAAATTTCAATTTGCACATTTATTATGGTCTGTTTCTGAGTCAACTGGTTATACTGTAATTACATTCTCCCACCAGGGGTGGTGCTGCAATGCTGCTTTTGGCACGAGAGTGATAATGAGAAAGTTTTGCAGAGTTTCCATTATACATGTGGACATAGAAATTTTACAATGGAAAAAGCTGACAGATGTAAGATTTTAAATATGTTGTAAATCATTACTGTAGTCTTGAGTGAAAATAGCACCAGACTCAAGATCAATAAGGTTCTCAGGTCTGAGCAGAGCGATTATGGTTTGTAGGCATTTGATACAAACACCAACGACCCTAAGTACGTGCAGACTTTAAAGCATGCTACTGCCCATCAATGACCTAACACATGTAAAGTGCTGTTTCTGCTCTGGCATTGTTCTAATTGCAACAGTTTCCACTCTTTCTTTCTATTCCTGTGGTTAAGCTCGAACTATGAGCCCCAGCTCAAGCAGGCTCTGCATTCTATGAAGTGCCCAGCAATATTGCTTCTTTGAAAGATTGATTCACATCGATACGTGTGTTTGAGCTGTGCTAAAGTCATGTCATTTACAAAGTATATGTGGCCCAACACATGTTGCCATTCAAGACAGAGTGGAACTAGAAGGATGGATTTGCTGGTACAGTGGGCTGGGAACTGTCACAGAAAAGACCCTTTGGCCTGACAAATCTGCACCCATTAATCCCATTGTCCTTCTATCAAAATCCTTCATTGAAAATTGGGAAATCAAATCCTAGTAAATTCTGTAACTTCTGGGCTAGCGCAGGATCAATTGACAATAAATAAAAACTATTAAAGTTTGATAAAATCCCCAACTGAATCACAAAGGGGCTTCAGGAACATTCCATGGCTTCCTTGTGACTCGCACACTGTACAACACGGTTGATTGATTTATTTATTTTTGTCACATGCACTGAGCTACAGTGAAAAGTGTTGTTTTAT